TAAACTACAGTAAAACATTCGAGAACAGCTTCAGACAAGTCTCAAGTCCAGCTTCGGGAGTCATCCGAGATGTGTTGTCCCCACTCGATGGAATAAGCAGGTTGTTCTTTTCCTGTCAGATCTGCACTTTGGACTTTGAAAAGGCAAATGTTGGTTTCCTGGATGTCCAAAGAATTGCTCTGGCGTCAACTAAGGGGGTCCAAGGTGCTAGAAGCCGCTTGCTATATCGCAGGGCTGGCACATGATCACGCTGACCTCAGCTCACGTGAATCGTCATGTCTTTACCTGCATTACTTCCTCACAATGTCACACCAAGCGGCACAAAGAAATCCATGAGAGCTTGAGCAGTGCTGCATCCTCCAGCAAGTTTGCTTCAATCTCTGCCTTAGACAGGCTTGGGCCACAATCAAATCCTGTCCCACCAATGCTAACAAGCTGTTTGAAGTTTGAAGTGAAAAGCCAAGCCGAGCTGCAGTGTCGTTCGGCCCTGGCTTTGAATTACCTGAGGCTTGCCGAGAGCCTCCGTCTGCGTCAGCAGCACGAAGGGTGGGCTCAACCAGGATGAGCACATTCTTCAGGCACATTGCTGCAGCTATCAAGGGGTCGGTCACCACATCATCACTTCGACCAGGAGGTGCTGGTGCAGCCCCTGCAGGCCCAGTACGCTCTACATCCTCTCCCCCCATTTTCCCAACCATGCTCATCTTGTCGACCATCATAAGCACGCGTCTGAGAATGCCAAAGCCCTGTGCTCCACATGCCAACTTTGAAATCCCTGATCCAAGTGCGGTTGGGCCAAGGGAATCACAAAGAGAACTTCCTGATGGCACCAAGCCTGGCGCAGTCTTTGATCTATTCCATGACTGGAAGGTCTGAGAGGCAGGTCCGGTAGGTTGTGCTTCTTTGCTCTTGTCCCCAGCTTTGTTGGACTGTCGCAATTCAATGCAGCATTCGGCAATTCGAATCCACAATCTGGGCCAATTCCTAAAAACTGGTACACATTGCTCGAAGCACTTGGAGGCCTGGGCAGATCGACCGGTCAACAAGAACTGAAGCCCCACGTTGAATGTGATTTCAGATCGTTTGTCGAGCCAATGCTTTGTAGCCGCGAAGCCTGGCTCGTCCAACCCAGTTCGGGCAGACAGAAGCACATCTCTGCCAGGATCACCAGCAGCTCCTTTTGACTGTGCGGGAGCTATTGACTTTGCAAGGGCTTTGCTGAAGTAGTATGCTGCTAAATTTGGCTTGTGCATCATGAAGTGCACACAACCCATGTTGTTGAAGAACAAAGGGGAGCAAGCATCATCTTGAGCTGGATGAAAGTCTGTAGGTATGTGATCCTCAACGTCATCATCTTTGTGAGCAGCCCGCCCGATTTCCATAGGTTTGCCAGCCGCTGCAAAGTTGAAGCGGCAAAGTGACATTAGCTTGAGCGCTTTGCGGAAATTGCCCTTGGCATATTCCAAGTACGCTTTGAGCATGTGCACTTTGGCTTTCTCATGGGAGGTAAACACTTGCCTCACAGGGTCCTCCTGCATGTCTTCTGCCTCGTTGAGTTTATGAGGCCAAAGGATGGGCACGCCTTGCAGCTGCTCCCAGAGCTCCATGGCTTTCTTGGCATCCTTTTTGGCGGCACTCATGCTCCTCAATGCAATGTGGATCCGAAGCCGGTACACAAAGCAGTTGAATTTGAATTCTGCAGGCGAGATGGTGTCGGGAGCTCGTCCGTGTCTCGTCAAGAAAGCTCCGAACACAAGGCTGGGCAAAGGTCCGTGAATCTCCTGCTTTTCAGGCTTGGGTATGTCAACATGTTCAGCTACTGTGGCTTCTAGGTCTTCCTTTGGTTCCCCATCCTCGTCTCGCAAGTGGCCATCTTCTCCTTCCTCCTCCTCATCCATTTGAGGCGCCTCCAGGCTTTTAGCACTAGGGCGTTCAGGCTTCAGAAGGCTATGGAAGGCGTTGGGTTTCTCAAGAACCTGCAACACTGGCACCCCTTGCTCCGGCTCCCGCTGCAGCAAACACAGCTCCAGGAGGAGAAAGCAAATCTTGATGGCCAGGAAGTCATCAATTGGCTCGATGTTATCGAAAAGCTCTTCGAGAATGTGCCTCGCTTGGGCATAATGCCGCAGCTGGACACACAGGAGTGCCTGATTGTACCTCAGCACATACAAATCATCATCGTCACGCATGGCATCCTCCTCGTCTTCCTCCTTTTTTCGCTTTCCCTTGTCCTTCTTGTCTTGCTCTCGAGCTCGGTCGTACTGGGTGGAGAGTTTGCTGAGAAGATCCTGCGGATCCGAACAGCTAGAATTGTAGTATGCATTGACGGCTGCATTGTGAGCCGCCTTGACATCTGCTCCACCTGTCTTCTGACCTAAGATCTGCTCCAGGCATTTACCACACTGCTGGTGGTTCCCACTTTTGAAGGCCTCAAAAGCGTCTCCGGCAAGACCAGTCGTTGTGGACATGGCTACGTGGCTACGTGGCTACGAGGGAGGTCCAATTTATATACAGACTTAGACACCTGACTTTGGTTCTAGCTGTCACCGTCACACAAGACCCGGTTACTAACTATCTGAGAAGTTCAACACCAAGATCTGCATCGTTCACACTACAGGTTCTGAGAGCCAAGGCAATTCATCAAGGGACGGCAAATGCGAATGGAATGGAAATTTCAAGCACTTGGCAAAACTGCGGCTGAACCAATGTCTGCAAGATTGAAGCTCACTGCTCACCCCCAAGATTGCTGCGTCTTCATGATGGTCGCGGTTCTCACTTGCGTCTCTGGCCGCCTGGGAGTAAGTAGGTTCCAACCAGAACGCATTGCACCAAGGACTTCAGTCGAGGCAGCTGCCCAGCGAGTCTGCAAATGCAATAGGGGTCCGACCTGGAAAGCTTTCAGCATGAACGCCCTCACATTGAAAAACAAAAAGCAAACTAGGTCGGGTAGGATCATCACTTGCTCTGGCCAATCAAGGAGAGGTCGGCTGGCCGCAGGTTGCTGGCACCTTGGAGGTAGCCGGCCACACTTTGATGGTCGCTAAAACGCATGCAAAACTGAGACTTGAACGGATGATGCTAACTTTCACTCGGAACTTGGCCTCGGCCAAGGCTCAAGATCCGCCGTATGATGCTGAAAACACACGGTCCGACAAGTTCTGGACCGCTCGTGGAAGCATCTCCCTGCGAGGCAGAGATGTAGAGACCAAAGTCAACACAAATCTCTGAGGCTCGTGCATGCTGCAATCTCTGCAGCTGCTGCTTCCTGCCCAGATGCAAAGGGAAAAGTAGCATGTGGTGGATGACTGTCTGGCAAGTCCTTGCAGCAAAGAAGTACCCACAAAGCGCCCAGCTCAAGGGACCACTGTTGTATGAAATTGTCGATTGAGATGTGAAACTGCAGAAAGCATCAGTGCTCCATTACAAACTTGATCCACAACCAGTAACAAAGATTGCTAAACACGAAGCTAATCTGAGAATGACTAGCATGCCATCTGTGTATTGCAATCGCAACAGAATGACTCATGACAAAGCCAGCATCGGCAGTCTGCTGGACTTATTTCTGCATTTTTGTCCAAGTCCAGACAACGTGCTCGCCAGACTGCTGGCAAGCTCATCGTGCCTGCAAGGATGGAGCAACAACAGCCGACTTGAACTACATTCAAGGTTGTGCATAGGTGGCCAAAGCATCCCACCCACCACAAGCTGCCATGTCCGCAGCATTCATGCCATAAACCTCATTCTTGAAGCAAAGCGGACAACGAGCGTTGCAAAGAACACCAGAACAACATCAACAGGCGCTTGCTCAACACAAAACGGGTGTTCAGGCTTCATTGTGACCTGTCATGTCACAAAAAGTCTCAGCTTTGCAAGTGGCATCCCGTGCTTGTAGAAGAAAGTTGGCGCGTGAAGGGCACCGCAGTATCTCACCGCCTTGCTTGTTGCTGCATGGAACAGTATCGTAGAATGTCTGCACAGCTGCATCCAGGCATCCGCAGCTTGAACATACTGAGGCACCAACAAGTGGATGCGTGGCCGCGCATGGCAGCAAGGTGGAGGATAGTGTGCTTGTTGCGATTGGTCATGGTAGCAATGGAGAAACCTGAAGTGTAGAAGAGTAAGTTCTACCCTGAAGCAGCAGTATCCTTTTCTGGAATAGATAGATAGATAGATAGACAGATAGATAGATAGATAGCGTAGAGTAGAGTAGAGTAGAGTAGAGTACAGTACAGTACAGTACAGTCACGTTCTTTGACTAAGCTGGAGACCGACCAAAAGAATCGAAAAAAGGCAAGTGAATCCCGGCTGGGGCTGCTGCTAGCGGCCTGAAGTAGTAGAGAGCACCTGCGAAAAGCGCACCCTTGGAGCTTGGAGTTGTGGTAAGCACATGCAACCTGCGGATCCTGCGGATGTTGCCCCACAAAAACTACTACGAGGCGTGGCTGACAGAACTTCTTCTAGGGCTTGAGAAGCCGCAGTCGGGTCACATATCAGCAATGCGAGCATCATTCTGATGACTGCTGACCTTGGCAATGTGGGTCTTGAAGTGAGGGCTGCAAGCGAACGCTACATACCATAAAGCAAAAACAAGTCATTATACGGCACATATATACATATAGAGAGAGAGAGAGAGAAAGAGAGACAGAGCACGCAGAATTCCACCTCCTGGACATGGATCAGCCTTTCAGCTCTGGTCTTCGGAGAGGCTGTCTTGCTGAGCTGCATATTGCAGCTCCAGCATAGAACAAATTGAACTTTGACGAACTTTGTGCAAGGACTGAAACAGTAAACTTGACAAATTCAGATAATCATACTGGGAGGAGCCCGGAGAAGCTCGCAGATTCTTGCGAGTGAACTCTCCAGCAAGCCCTTAGCCCCAGACTTTTAGGGGCAGCTTGCGGCCGCATATGTGGCATAATGTGGCATAGAAGCACACCTACTGCCCAACCTAGGTGTCTAAATGCGTGATTCAATTTCAAAAAACCACCGCTGGACTCCTATCAACTTTTGTCGCCATCTGGTGGAAAAGCTGCAGCTGCAGCCGCTGCAAATGTCTCACCTGCTTTACCCCCTGGAAATGCAATCACCACACGTCCGAATCGACCGCGAAATTGCTGAAGTGCCTTGCCCAGGCTTTCCCCCACAGCCTCAGGTGGATTGTAGAAAACTCCGCAACCTGCATCCGGAACAACCAATGTCGTGGCCTCTTGACACGATGAAGCAGCCGTCAGCACTGCAACCCACTTCTGAAGAAGCTGCTTTTTATAGCCTTCACCATCCGGGTTGGCATCAACAGGCGAGTCTGACATCTTCTCATTGCAGTTTGGCATGGCAACCGACACAACGCCCCTCAAGACTGTCACTGTATCTCTGAACGTGTAGCCTTCATTGGTACCATCACGGAAAACCTCAACCTTTGGGGACAGCAGCACACCATCATCCGGAAGGTGAGACACCCATGAACTTCCATCCTTTTTCTTGGCAGGCCGGGACCATGAAGGCGCTTCAACCTTGGCAGCTTCCGCCAAGCCAATGCCAAACTCCAGTGAGTCATAGAGGGAACTCTGCACACACATGGCCTCCTCCAAAGCATGCCGGCCTCCTGTCAAGAAGCCTCCTCCAGCATGGTAAGCAGACGCGGCATTAACAGCAATCACATGTTCTCCTGCTTGAGCTGCCCGTACCGCTACATCCAGAACGGTTCCGTTCTGAACTTCCAATTTGGTCTTCAACTGGCCTGTAGTTGGGGAACTGGGCCAAGCCCCCACACTGGGAGAGAGAAGTTTCGTTCCTTTGATCATCTCCTCAACATGATTCAGCTGAACCACCTTGTTTCCCAGCGTGTAACCTTGCTGTTTCACGACTTCCCTGGTGGCTGCACTGATTTTTCGTCTCGCCTCACGGTCAGTCCCTGCATTTGCCTTTCGAATCCAGCCATATCCACCCTCAACTTGTGGAGCTTGGCCACGACTCTCTGCATCTATGACTAACCCCTGCAGCGGCTGAGGTTTTTTCTGGGTGTCCGTGGGGGGTGTAGGTGCAGGAGAAGGCTCTGAAGGCTCCGTTTCTTGCGTAGGTTGGCTTTGGTCTCCTTTCTGGCCACCCAATGCGTGCAGCTCAGCGAATGCCAAGTTCAACAGGAGTCTGGACTGTTCCTCTGCACGGTCAAGGATCTTCAAATCGAGCACCTCAAGTCAGATCAAGAACAAGACACTGATACGTGGACGAAGTGGGATCGTGAAAGCCAGGAAAAAATGGCAACCCTATACAGGCTTCTTGGCACTGTCACTGCCGTCACCTAGGACCTACGGCACACATATTGGTTGGCCAATCCCGAATCCAATTGGCACCCTGACCCCGAGATTGCAAAATGACATACTTCTGAACCCTTTGTGTCAGCGCCTGCTTCAAGCGGCGAAGCCTTACATCTTTGCACTTTGCTGAGAGCGCACGCTTCAGCTGTGTCTTTGCACGCGCGCTGGCAACCTTGGCCGAGCAGGATAGCGGAGCGGGGGACTAGAGCATTGACTCACGTTCAGAGGAAGTAAAACGTCAATAACTTACAGTATAACTAACGGGCAAGAACGAGTCAATTTTGGGATCACCTTTTCCAAACACCTTCCAACCAAAAAAGAAAACATCTGGTCTGGGCAGAGACACGCTGTATCGCCTCATTTGTCTCTTTCACAGCAAGGGCCCTTCAAGCTCTCGCGAGCACGCTTGGAGCCAGGACACGGACGGCAATCTTGAATGCAGGTTGGCACACAGAACAACAAGAATACTTTGTGAGATCCTCTTGCTTAGGAGCTGGCGGCCTGGTGCAGGACTGTATTTCCAAGAAAGTCCTCCCAAAGACGTCACATTGATCTGATCAAGCTGCATTCACTACGACTGTGCTTCACAAGCATGCATTCAACAATACTTTAGCACTTTTGGCAGCAGGAGGAGCAGCAGCTTTTCGCTATGCATAAGTCAAAGCCATGTCGCCCGCCTTCACATGCCAGCATTGGGCACGTCTGTGTGTGTGGAACCAATTATGATTTCGCATTGACTTGAGGCACTAACATGCTTTTGCGGTGCCTCATTTTGAAGCTGCCACCAGGGTCACACCGAGAAGCACACCCAGAAAAGCAAGCATGGTGCAGCGGAGGTTATGCGGGGTAGAGGCTTCGTTGAAGACAAAAATGCCCCAAAGCAAGCTCACTCCGACCTCTCCACCACACACCAGGCAATATGCCACAGCATAAGGCATCACTGCCAACGCATACAGCTGGGACATGCTGGCCACGGACCACATCATGCCGTTCAGCAAGGCTGGCCGCAGAACCGATTTCATCAACTTCTTTCCCTGGTACTTTCTCATTGCACCCCCCAACAGCATGTATGCCGTTGAGGCCATGAACAGGCCAACACTGACAGAGAGGAAGTAGTCAAAGGACGAGAAAGTTGCATGCTGCTCTGCCATGCGGTGCTTCCACGGTAGCATGGGTATGTAAATAAACGAAAATGCCAAACCGGCGGAGAGGGACCAAGCCAAGCCCTTACACCAGTCTCCTAACTTCCCTGACCTGTCTTGCCTTCTGCGTGGGAAAACGGGCGTAGGTGCAGGACTGGTTGGTTCAGATGATCTGTCATCAAGCATGAAATAGCCACCCATATCACAATGTTGAGGTGGGATCATGTGTGGCCGTTTGTCACTGGTTGACGGGCCTGGATTTTGCTTGACTTGGAGGTAGTCTGTCGCATCCAGCTCCTCAACCTCCACCTTTGTAAAAGCAAGAGGCACCATTGCGAGTACAACACTCAAGCATCCCATGAGTGCCAGAAGTGGGTCACCAGGACGCTTGACTGGAAGGCCAACCCGATCACCAAAGACACCCACCACAAATGCCCCACCAAGGTTAGTCACCTTCTGGGTGGTAAAGTAGTTGCTCATGCCGAAGGCTTTCACTGATTGCGTCGCCAATACATTTGCAAGCTGGAAGAAAACTCCTGAGAGGAGACCCTCTTTGCAAACATAGAAGCCTGGAGAGCTCATGCCAGGTGCATTCCAATCATTTCGGAAGGAGGCTTGCATCAATCCAGACAGAAGAATGCCACAGCATTGAAACCACTGGTACACTAAGCCATCATGTATATCGTAGTTTTTTACTGGCACAAACAAGGACCCATAGCAAAGAGTTGCCAGAATGATTGCAACCCATCCCGTTGACGCGTCCATCAGGACAAAAGCATTCTCTCTTGAGCCTCAATCAAATCTACTGGCGGCATTCAAATATGTCCCAATTGAATCCAAATGAAGCAAGAACCCTTCCTTCGAGAAACCACAGCCTCCAAACTTACTCAATCATCTCAATCTGTTGTCTAGGCCACCCGGTCCAGCACGTTTGCAAGTTGGCCATCTCTATTCAGGATTTCGCTCGCCAAACCCAACTCACCCTGCCAGGGCAGTCTGGATTGCCCGTACAAATGAGTTTTCCAGATTTGCATAGCTGCATAGGTTTGTGACCAAACAAGGTGAGGTCGTCGTGAGCCAAGAGATACTGCTCTGACAGACTTCATGTTTTGTCTTCTGAGCACCCGCCTTCTCTAGCCTTTGACTCGTTTCAATTTGGCAGCCAACCGTGTTCTAGAGGTCTGTGTGTGTTTGTGTTCAACGCCTTTCTGTTGGGGGCTGGAGTTGGTCCTCCGGTCCAGCTCACCGCACCTGCCGCGCTGCAAGATGCAATGCCGTTGAGCCATCCGCTGCACGGGCCTCGGTGTTGAGCCCTTCAGAGCTCGACCGCTCGACGGTCGATGGCGCCTCCAAAGACGGAAGTCGCTTTTGCTGCAGAAAGTCCGACAAACGGGACCTAGGATGAACAAGACGGGAGAGCAAAGGATTCACCGTCCCATGTTTGTTGCGGGGAGGCTGTAGGCTAAACCAAAAACCAACACCAGCATTGGGCATTGAGGTCCGAACTTTCTGATTGCTGTAAGGCACAGCCTCAAATGGAATTGTTCATTCTTTTGTGCCGCCCCTTGCTCCCCTTTTCAGGCATAAGCTGTCACCGGCTATTCACCGCTATTCCTGCCAGGTTGCGTCCCATTTCCGACCGGCACGGGCTCAGAATCAGAAAGCTGAAGCTTGTCCAAGACCAAGTCCAACCTCAAAGACTCAAAAAGATGGGCCAAGCAGCCACAAACTGATGACAAACACTCTTCGCAATGTGTCACTCTTAAAAGTGCTGCAGTCCTTGCAATGCTTCCCTTTATGTTTCGTCTGCATTGTGCATGGCCGTCTTTTTTGGCAGATTGAGATTCAAGCTCTTTCACGGAGACGCCCATAGCCTAGAAACCACGCACACAGGTCTCAACACAGGGCGAATCAGCTCGGGATGATGAATGACTTATGATGAGTGACTTATCTACAACTTTCTACAATCCCATACTGCGCTGCATTCACAGGATTTCTGTGAAAGCACTACATGACTGCGGTGCCTCGCTGAGAGCCTGCTTCACATGCCGTGCTTTGGATGCAGCTGGCACCAGCACGACCTTAGAGTTCAAGAAACATATAGTTTGCACCGATCGAATCATCAGTCATGACATTGAAAACAAACCGCCGAAAACCTCGCGGTACTCTTTGCGTATCCTCTCTTCTTTTCGAATCCAGGTGCTAGGCAGCTAGACTATGTCCACCCAGAAGTTGTGCTGGCTAAAAGGTGAGGTGGACTATATACTGCGGCCAAAGATCTTCTTTGTTTGTGCTTGGAACCCATGTCCCTGAAGGGTGCCTTGTTCTGTTGGTGTCTTGGGAAGCAAGCCTCGGGTGCTTACTTACCCTGCCCTTCCAATGAGCAAAGCTTTTCTGGAGGAGTCTGCAGTCTTCGGTCGTACCCCCTTGCATTCAATTCTGTTGAGAAGCACCTACCAGAACTAGTGACTAGACCTGTCACAGTCGCGTGTTCCCAAAAGAAGCAGACATAAAGTGCTGCACGCCAGTCTCGGCACGGCAAATAACATGACATGAAAAAACAGCATCATATTGATATGTAAAGGTCATCAAGGAGACTCACAAACACCCGTGTCCGTGGCTGTATGTGATACTCCGAAATTGTTGCAGGAGCTCCCTCTCGCAAATTCAAACACAACTACAATAGCTCAGCGCCACGTTTGGTGACTGTTCATCTCTCTCAAAAAAGTGCAAACTACCCACTCTCCGTCACGCTAAGAAAAAGCCAGCAGCCAGTAGCACATAATTCTTTTGCTCAAAACTCATCATGTCCCGAGATTTGCGAGAAACGCTGGAAGAGAACGCCTAGCGGAATGCCAGCTTCTTTGAGACCTCTTAACTTCCAGGCTGCCAGGAACGAGTTCAGCTCGGCATGTACTGGCACTCCACCAACTTCCAGTGATTTCAAGGCCTCGTACTTGATATATGTGCCATAGTCAACCACCATTTTTCGAGTCAAATGCTTTACCTTGCGTGCACCTTTCCTAATGACAAGCAAGCCAGCGCACTGCTGGCAAAACGGCAAAGAACCTGCGAAAACCTTGTCAACCGCATCGGACAATTCTTTGAGTCCCTGTTGCATGGTTTTCCGTCTTTTCTTCAGCATGCGCTCTATCGCCCCATCCACCTCCTGCGCGAAGGACTGTAGGGCGGCATCTTCAAAGCAGTTTGCAGCGCTGCCTGTGGCACAGCCTCCTGCTCCAGACACCGCATCAGCAAGTGCCTCAGAAAGCTCCTGCACTGTTCCTCTTGTTTCTGCGTCCTGACTGTCTTCCTCCTCTTCCTCTCGAAAGTCTTCAAGGAATTCTGCAAGACCAATGCCGACATCGTCAGGACTTCTATCTTGAATCCACGAGGTAATCAACTTGTTCAGCTCCCGGTGAACATCGACCTCACCAATTTTCAGGAGCTGCATTGCTTCATATTTGACATTGGTGCCAGGATTCACTAGTGATCTTGTACCAACTAGTGTTTCAAGGCGGTTTGCAGCAGCCCGCAGACGCCCAGCCCCAGCCGCAGCTCGTAGTGGTTGCTGACAACTCACATGCTCTTCAAGGCTTGAGAGCAAGGAGTCCACAGCTAAAGCGAGAATCTTCAATCCATGCTGCATACTTCGTTGGGTTTTCTGCATCATGCGGCCAAAGGCCTCATCAAACTTATCCGCATTCAACTGCGCTATGCCATCAGTGAGGCATGCTGGTGAGACAGGTTGGCTCTTGTCGCTCAGCCTTCCAAACGCAGAATTAAGAAGAGAAGACCAAAATGAGGGAGTTCGTTGCAATGCACCTGGGCTGTGTGCGGTCGTCTGCAGTTCTGCTTCAGGCACATCGCTGCTCCCATCATCAGTGTCTTCTGAGAAAAGACCGAAAAACCTGGCCAACGTCTTGCCCACCGCTTCTGGCCCGTGGCTCATTCGCCAAGCAACCAGCATGGCGTTCAATTCACCATGCACATCAATGCCACCCACGGAAAGGGATTTTAAGGGTTCGTACCGCACAGTTGCATCCAGGCCAGCCAAGCTGCGCGTGCTGGCAAGAACTTTCAACCTTTCCGCCTGCCCTCGCAAAGCGGCAAAGTCTCCACAAGGGCTTTCAGTGAGCATGAGCACCCCATTTGCCATGGATGTGAGCCCCAATTGCATTGTTCGCTTTGTGCGATGCATCATGGTATCGACAGCTGCCGTGAACCCATCATACCATTGAAGAGCTGCTGATTCATTCACACAGGCTGCAGGCAGGTCTTGTCCTGAAGCAGCCTGGAGCATCGAGTGTACTGAGAAGTCTTCATCAGCTTGACATCGACATAGATAGAGAAGCAGCAACAGTCTCAGTTTCATGGCAGGCAACGGACCGGCCACTGTGATCAACACTTGTTCCGGTTCCAGGTGCAACTATTTTGCATCAAGGCTAGGCTGGGGATGAGGGAACGTCCCCTAAGTCCTTAAGTGGTGTAGTTTGGGACTCTTGCTGTCACGTGTCCAAACCCAAACAATTTAATCAGTCTTGAACTGACAGAAACTTGCCGATGCCGATGCAGCAAAACTCAAGTGAGCTACGGCCAAAACCTGGTAGAATCACTTGTAGGCCAACCCTTTGGGGGGGCTCTGGTCGTGCACAAAACCGGCGGTAGGGCCCCACACTGGACTGATCGGATCGCCACTCATGCTGTAGGCTTGAACCTGGCCATCGCAACTCTGCAAACTCGGCAGATTCTGCGCCAAACAGTTACTAGAAAGCTTTACTGTTACTAGTAGCGATCGCCTCCACCCTAGTAGCGATGGCCTCCAACCTAGTGGCGATGGCCTCCAACCTAAAAGCGATGGCCTCCACCTAGAATTCCTTGCCTTGACATGTTGCGGCTCTGGCAGCTGATCCATTCATGGAAACTTTGTCCATCAAAAGGTGTTCTTTGCATGCTTGAGAAGAGTGAGGAAAATGCAGCAGTCCAATAAATTGAAACAAGTTTATATATACATGAGCAAAAAGGCTTCTGACATGGTGTCCATGCTTCATTAGGAACCATTTGCCACTAGTGTACTCACAAATCAACCTCAGCGAATTCAACTCGCATGGTTTCTGCACTACTTAGCTTCCCTCGCTGTCTGCAAATGTGCGCCCAAACCATCACACTTTCTGTCACAACCCTTTTCCTGGTGCAGTGACAAAAGTGGAACGCCTGCCAACTCAGCTCTACTCCCGTCTCGCAACCTGTGCAGGATTGTGCATTGGTGCGACATCCCCACTCGTAAAGCCTCACTGTGTCCAAGTGCGCACAGCCTTTTTCCCGCCCAGATCAGCCTCGGAAGCTCCAACTACAGTATGTCAATCGATTCCTGGCAACATACGTTGGTGATTGCATATCATTTGGCAAGGCTTCCGCAAAGCTTGCACGCAATGCCCCCTTTCAATGATGCTTTCACTGGACTTTTTGAAGGCTTAGCACAAGCCGCCGGTTGCCCCCAAATGTAAGACTGATTCAACGCACAAAGGGGAGGGTTCCTTGGCAGAGCAATTGTGGCCACTCTATTTCGAGCGGTCGGTGTCAAAAGCAGCTCAAGGTGGATGAAGAGAGATTGGGCGTGCGGAAGAACAATATTCCGACCTGATTCGTGTGAATGATTCAATGCCACTGGCTGCTTTTAAGCCCGTTCTTTGCAGGCTGTGGAAGGAAGCTGGGGAAAGCGCTTCCTGGGCTGCTCTGCTGGGGAAAATCACGTCTCAGCGCAGAAGACCCACTGAGCTACCGCCTCTGAGTGCTGCCTGTCGGCGGCTGGGGTTTTCAGGTCTCGCAATGTTTTCTTTGCCAGTTCTGTAAGTTTGTTCATGTGTCGCCTAACATGCTTCTCTTGCGACATTCTCGTACACTAGCCCGCATTTGTCCAAGTGTCTTGAATTCGGGGTGTGGCTAGACTGACCAATGACCCTTGGAGAAGCACACATGATTCATGATTCCTCCAAATCGTCACTTGGCCCAAGAATGTGCCGAAAGACGCAGGCTTTTCCTTCTAGCTTTGTCACAGCGCAGGAGCCTTGTCCCTCGGCATTCTTGTTCATCTGCGACAGTGAAACCTGACAGGATGAATCGATGATCATCAGCTTCTCTTCTAAAGATCATGGACTTCTCAGCTGAGCCGAGGTGCAGAAGATGTCGCTGAGTCGCTTCGCTGTAAAGGAGGCTTTTGCGGTGTGGGCGCGTCAACCTGGCTTTGATCCATCTCAATGGGGAAACAATATCAAACAGCATGACAGATGATCAGATGAACCACAGTTCCCGTGGACTCCGCCTTGATGGACAATGAGCTGACATTGTGCTTCCTAAGTGCACACCGCGGTACGGTCAAACAAAATAGTGAAACAAAAGGCTAATGAGTTTCAACATGTTTCAACAGCCTCTGCAAACAACTAAAGGATTCCCCCCTGGATTGTGCCTAAATGTGCCAAGAATCAGCGCATCATCTAGGCGATCTAGGGGGCTTCCAAGGGCGCCTTGTTCTGCCCGTCGGCAGTACGCCAAAGCAGCATGTTGCAACCCTTCCCATCTGCTTTCTTAAGGCCTCTACCTGGTTGAGAAAAGATTCTCAGTTCTTGCGCATCTCCTGCAGCAGGAATCCTGTGAAAACATCCAGATCCAAACGCAGGTCCTTCACTCTCAAGGTCCAAGGGTGACGGTGAAGTCCGTGGACCTGCGGCGTCCATTGAGCCGGACCATCGGCAACACGTCAGCGAAGGACTGAGCGCATGGCTGGTTGCAGCTGGAAAATGTGGAGTGTTTGGCAAGGGCAGCTGTGGAGTGTTTGCCTCATAGCCAGGACGCACGGTTTCAATTGAAGCATGTCTAAAGATTCTAAAGAAAAAAGATTGGAAAAAAGTTCTAAAAGGAAAAAAGGACTGGATTTGGACCGTGTTGAGAGGCAGCGTCCATCCTCGCCGTCCCGCTTAACTTTCGGACCAAGAGACCTGAAGCTTTGTTCGCCTGGCCAAACACCCTACCGCCCAAACGATTTTTTTCGTGTCTTTCTTGCCTTCCTCCTTTCCCACCTGCCTCCTTCCCTCATCCCTTTCCCTTCCTACAGCTTGCATTTTCCTTTTCCTTTCCGCTACTTTCTTCATGCCCTTCCTTTCCCGTACCCTTTCCTGTGCTTCCTCCTTTCCCTCCATCCTTTCTCTCTGCCCTGCACTCGCTCTCTCACGCCCTTACTACCTCCCTCAGTCATTCACTCACTCTCTTCCTCTTCCTCTCCCTGTCTCTCCCGTATTGCCTCCCTCACTCTCCCCCCCTCCCTCTCTACGCTGTCTCTGCAACAACTTGAACACCCCGCCTTCCACTGGAGTCACTTTGGACTTGCGCAGCACTCGGTTGGGGATAGCCGCTTGCAATGGCTGTAGTCGCGCTGGCTGGTCCAGTGCTGCTGGGTGGGATTGTGCTGCTTGCAGCTGGCAGGACGCCTGGCGTGAATTTCTCAAAGTTCAATCGCCAGCAACGTTGGAGTGAACTTAGAGTGAAGCAGTGAAGCCTGCAAGCGGCGAGCTTTCCCAGTCAGAAAAACTGAACCTTAGGTGTCAAGAGGTCTTCTTTGGCTTCGACTGTGTGGTCTCTGGGTAGCATGCGCAGCCAAATTGGAGTTACCCCGTTGGGAGCCTTGGAACAAATAATGGAGCAGAAGCAACAAAAGTCAGTGTCATGTATGCCCACCTGCCTAATGGGCCCAATGGAGCTTCAAGCCCCATCCAGAGCATATCTAACTCGAAACTGGTTCCAAGAGCCAACAGTCTAACAACAGGACCGAGAGAAAGAACATCCACCAACATACACTGCCAGGGCGTTCATTCCCACTTTGTGAAAGTGACATACACAGATATGTGCCACCCACACAACCCTTGTTTGTGAGGTTCAATGTGATTCAAAAAGGTTGTAGGCTGAACTTCAAAGTAGCCAAGGGAAGGATAGCATCAGCGGCAGAAACTTGCAACTGGCTGCATAATTTTGACATGTCCAACTATATTAAGCAGGTGGAAGCCGACACAAACAAAGCGACTGCCGTCTACTGGCCCCAAAGGCAAACCAATTGGTCAAAGCTGTACTGCAACCCACTTCTCATGGCCACGTGCCACCCAATCAATGCCAGCTCAAGTGCCAACTCGAGGAAGGCCAAGCTGGTACAGCTCCTCTTTCAATGATTCCAATTCCGCTTTCTTCAGAGCGACCTGACAAATACAGTTAAGAGGTTCTTTGAAAACAGGCACGGGAACAAGGAAATCAAGTACAGAATGTCCAATGCAGCAGATGGACAACACATTCAAACCCCTGAGTCATAGGCTGTCACAACCCTCCTAATTACCCCCAAAGTTCTGTCGTTTACCTCTGAAGGGGTCAAGTTGGTTTGGGGTCGAATATTTTGTCCATCATAGTTCTGGTAGCAGTTCTGGCAGGCTATCGCACCGCTTCGCGAAGGTGCTGATTCACCTTCTCACGCTCCCGCTGCCTTGGGGTATCGACGTCGACGAATCACAAACAATCCGTCACATTCGTGGAAGACCACAACGGACAATGAGATAATGATTGATAATGTGGGCCGGCCATCATGATGCTGCCAGACGAATCTGTGCATGGACCTTCTTTTTCGCTAGAGCAGCGAAGATCCATCGGCTCTTAGGCTAGGAATTCTTCTTGGTTTCGCCTACAGTCCTTGCTCTGGACACAGTGGCATGGCTAATCTTCCCTATCTTCAGCACAAGGCCAAAGGTCTTCCGAGCAGCGTACACCAAGCTCGTTACCGAGTGCCACAGGAGAAAGACATGAGGCAACAGCATTGTCAAAATAAGCATGTCCGAGTGAAAATCCAGCAAAATAAAAAGCACTTGAAGCGGCATATACAGGGGGATGAGGAAGAAGCTGCCAAAGACTTGTTCAAGTGCATGATGGATGACTGCGAGGGTGGGCCAGTCAGATTCCAGCAGCTCACCCATCAAGATTCCTGAAATGTCATCTCGAAGCTTTGTCAACGAGGACAAGACTCCCTCAGCAGAGGAAGTGAATCTCCTCTGCAGCGTCAGAAAGAAGGTTAACGCGAACATAATCTCGAAGGTGTTCGAAAGCACTTGGTACCACCAATAGACTTGTCGAAATGACAGACTCGAATGAAGCGTTCTCAATGGCCACACTAAGAGACCTCTCGAAATACTTGTGACCTCCACTGCTTCATGGATCTCCTGAAGAAGCACTGCAGTTGCAGGAGCCATAGGAAGGGAGAGCTCAATGAAATCAAAGTGAGAGTGGTCACTCGAAGCAAGAACCAGGTCCAAAATCTGCCCGCTTCTGTTCAAAGTAATGGAGGCCATTGCCACCTGATTCCACTGGAGAGTCATTTTGCTTCCTATCTTCAGCACGTGGTCGCCTTTGTCACCTTCAACTCTCTCTACCCTTACCTGCTCAACATCCTTCCAATCTTGTAGCGCATTGTTTCGTTGAACTCGGATATGGCGGACTTCGCAAACAGCAACTCCAGCACCACCAGCAGCGGGACCACTTGACATGGCTCTGATGTCTAAAGAATGAGGGGAGTGGGTCTAAGTTCCACCCAGCGATAGCAAGTTTTTGGAATTCTCCGCGCTCATGCTGCTGAACTTGTTGTGTGTTTGTGGGTAAGTGCGCGACTCATCTTGAGCCTTCAAAGCAACAAAGGGAGCATCTTTGGATATGATCTAAATATATTCCCAATGAAACTGCCTCCTCCCACACGTCCCAACCCTTGTCAAAAGCAAAGGCTGGATGCAACTAAAGAGCAGTGCAAGGGCTCGATAAAATGGTCCACCCAGGTCCCTCCAACCAGTCGTCACCTGAGGCCAGGTTGGCCAGGTCCAAAAGGGAATCGAATCTCGCACTGTCCATTTCTACTAGCCTGGTCCGATCTCGAGGTGACCGCCTTCCCAAGATCACACGGACACTTGCAATCGTGACCGACAGAAGAAACCCAGCCTGCTTCCCAGCAATCTGACTAGTAGGTGATGCAGGGATTGCTTGCGATAGCCTTTCACACCCGTGGGAAACAGGAAAAACGGCTACCAGTACTGAATGCTTGTCCACCAGCAGCATTCACGTTCGAAACGTTCTGTCCAGCACCCTGCTGAGCGTGTTTTCAAGCAAGAGGCTCTCTCCGCATCTTTGCGAACATGAGGTTCATCTCTAACTCCTTCTGATCCAAGAAGGCGAAGACATCCTCGGACGAAAACGTGGTCACAAAGTCTTCGACTAGTCATCCCTTCACCTGGACGCTCTGCCGATAGTAGAAGCTCTCAGCGTCCGAATCCTCGAAACGTTGCAAGCATGCATTATCTCACACACACACATTCTCTCTCTATCTATCTATCTCTCTTAGATTCGCTAGGAGGTTGGAGGCCATTGATTCTAATTTGGAGGCCATCACTATGGGGCTCTCTCTCTCTCTCTCTTTCTCTGTTGCCATGCCACCTGTGCAAACCCCTCTGGGGACTCCGCTGCCCAACCCTCGACTGCATCCTCCTCTGCACCACCAAGCCTTGGTTGCAGGACGCTTCAGCCTTGAAAAGGCTCCAACTCCTGAGGTTTGGGTCAAGGGGCTGAATCTGGCGATGAGCGGAAGACTCAGAGGGAGGCCCAGACTGACCTGCATGGTACGGGCATTTCAACACTCCGAAATCAAGCAGCCATTGCCTTTTAGGTACGTGAATATATATATATATATATCTGTGTGTGTGTATATCTTGCCATCTTGTGATGTCAGTCAGAGTTGACGCAAAGCTGCCACTTCTGGGGGAAGGCCTGGCACATTCCGCACTTGCACCCTGAGCAGTGCACACCGTGTGCTTGCATAAATTGGATGACAAGAATGGACTGCATCATTCACATGAATTTTTGCATCAGTTATATTGTAATACAAGTGCCACTGAGAGGCACAGCAGCCGCAGTAGCCTTGTTTGACGTGCGCATGTCAGTGACAACTGTTTGAAAAAATGTTGATTTGCTCGAACATGGTCCCTTCTGTTTCCTCCATAAGAATGTCCTTCAACAGTTGCACACATCACACGGCTAAACATAGGCAAGATGCGCCACCAGAAGTCGCAGATCCCACCGGAGAAGGAGGTACAGTAGGTGATCCTGCACTTCGCGTGGCGTCCTCAGAGCAAGCACCCCAACAAGTGCAGGAATCAGTCCATGTCCGCAATCAGTCCAAGTAGCGGAAGCCAAAGTCTCCTGCGGTGACAGCGCTTCTCATGGCTCAAAATGTCGGCATTTGCTTCGCAATCGGCCTGTGGCTGTGACCCGATCGTTCCACTGGGTATTGCAGGTCCTTAGGAAGAAAGCCATCTCGAAACTCTTCGTTGACTTCGTCATGCATTATGGAACTCCCAGCCTGATCTGCTTGTGCTTGCGCAGGCCTGGCAAAGGAAACAACATATTTCCGCGTTCCTGGTCCAACAAAGAAGGCAACTTGATGGGAGTTACATGGAGTTACCATTATGAATTCACAAGTCAAAGGTGACATGAAAAGGCCTGTGGTCGGGAAGATCCAGCCACGTCGGCAGCTTGATGCATGGCACGCGCTGAAGGCGCTGAAATCGTTGCAACCCAGGACCTGTTTTATTGGTGCATGGTTTTGTATGAGTTGGCTGACGACTTGGGTGGCTTTGCTGGCCCTTCCGCCCTCCTTCTGCTTGAAGCTAAGATCCAGCCACATCAATTTGGCATTTGAGCTACGGTGCATGCTACTAGTAAGCGTGGCATTCTTGCACCCGGTGTGATTCAACAATCTCAGCATATACTCAAGCCCAATGACTGCATGCAGTGATTGTGGCAGGTGCACTTGGTTTGCAGCACCAAAATGTTCAAGAACATACTAATGGCTATTTTGCAAGCAAGGGCAAGGGCCTAGTGGATCTCTGAGCGGTGTCTGTCCTTGTGGGCCTTCAGTTGCTTACCTGTCAACATTGCTGTGTTTCCCACTTGCTTTGACTGAATGGGAAACACAGCAATGGTTCTCACGTCCATCTCAGCTCTTGTTCTCCACGTCGTCCATCTCAGATTGCGCCGTGAAGGGAGCTTCCAGCGTCTACCCCGTGCGAGAGATGCACACGTCAAGAAAGCAGCCCCGTTCCTCAGGAGGCTAAAGGTTCGTGCAAAAACTGGCCGTGAAATAGAGGCCAAGTCAAGACATGTACCATTTACAGTCATATATGTTGATATTTTTTGCATTTTTCCTGGAGTAGGCAGCAACTAGTTTCACTCCCTTTCTCTTTCACCACGGCAGCTGAACACCTTGAGTTGAACCTGTGACTTAGCAGTGAATGCACCGGAGTCGCAGTGGACGAGCAGGTAAGAAGGTTGCCAAAACGAAAGAGTTGAAAATACGAGAGAGGAGCAAGAAGCTACTAGTAACAAGGGCATCGCTACTAAGAGCAAGAAGCTACTAGTAGCTCCTGGCCTTACTACTAGGAACAAAAAGCTACTAGGAACAAAGGATATCGCTACTAACTAGGAGCAAGAGTTTGTCCCAAAGAGCTGTCCAGTTCTGACCCTGATGGCTTGCATAAGCTGGTTCCAACACATTCAAGGCCAATTGAATCACTCGGTTCTTCGTTCCTAGGCAAGAACGTTAGACATTCCTAGCTTCGTTCCTGAGCAATCAAAGCCCTTGGAGTCACCCAGGCCCTTCTTTTGTTCCTCACCCTTCGCGACCACCAACGGGTTGGGTTGATCACCTGAACCACCGGAACTGCCAACAAGAAGTTTGAGTCAGTCTAGATTTCCGCGGTGTGTTGGGTGTAGCCGTCACCGGTGATCGATCTGTTTGGGGGGTCTAAGGCCGTCTTCTTGGAGCGGGCCCGTGTTCAAGTACAGTTACTCCAGGATGTTGTTTCTAGATTCGGTACCATACAATGGTTATCCTTTCTCTTCATTCCTTTTCGTTGTTTAATGTGTTTTTCCTTTCCTTTTCTTTTTCTTTCATCCTTTTCCTGTAGTTCCCTTTCTTTTCGGTCATCTTCTTTCACTCTTTTTAATAGAACTCCGTCTCTTTTGTTTCTGTTCTGTCTTTTTCTTTCCTGTGTTCAAGTTGCCGGGCCCTTTTTCATAAAACCGAAAGGAAAGGGGGGTCACAAACCATAAGTCCTTTTCAAAGAAGTTACTTTTGTGAGAGATCGGAAAGCTCAGCTACGGCTGATTACCGCGTTGCAAGGACGCGGTTCCGCATGGGCACTGTTTGTCGTCTTGAGCCAAAGTCGATCATCCCCGTTTTGGGGACCTATATAAACACCACAAAAATGGGGGTTGGGAAAGTTTGGGAAAGCTGGTTTGGAAGAGCGAATTCAATGTTAAAATTTAATCCATTCAATCTACTCCAGGATGATTATACCCTCTCTCTCTCTCTCTCTCGCACTCAGGGTTTAAGCATCTGCGCTTCTTGCGACCCCACAACACCCCGAGCATTCATCCACACGTCCACTTGCTTGCATGTCAATACGTATGTATGTGTACGCGCGTGTAAACAAAAATACATATATATATATATAATCATCCTCGAGTAGATAGAATACGGAATTGAGCCGCCAACGTACCTTCCGTCATTTCAATTTCATATTCTAAGTACCTCGTTTTGACCCCCAAAAAAAAGTACATAGAATATCTCCGAGCGGATCAAACGAGTACTTGGAATATCGTGGAATGGTCTGTGGAAGATAGGGGACATAGGGGAGAAGATGGGAGAAGGAAAAGGGACATAGGATGCGAGCTCGCACGCGCGCGCGGGTGTTTCGATTCGAGGCACGCGGGTGTTTTGATATAACCATCCTGAAGATGCTTTTGGGACCCCGATATTCCATGTATTATTACTTTTTTTTAGTGCCGCGGGATTGAGTTGTACCAAAATTCTATGTACTTCAGGATGGTTATATATATATGTCACTACCATTGATGGACAAAAGCCTCCACCACCCCGGCATCTGAGTGCTCGATCTTCAACGCATGTCTCTCTACTCTCCTACTCTCCTCTACGCTAAATGCCGGTTCAACCAAGAAACTTTTGCAAACCAACGTCCAAGCCCTGTGGAAATCGTCTGTGTGCAAACACCTCTTTATGTCTAGCTTCTTTTTCACATCCTTCTATGCATCATATCCGCATGCCTGCCCAAAACTCCGTGGCTGAACAATGAAAAAACAACTATATTTGGCAAACAATGAAAAAATGTAGTTCTAGCAAACTTCAACTCTTCAAGGATGTGCTCTACCAAACAGAAGCCCCATGCAGTCTGCATGTCCATGGCTTGGGATTCAAAAGATGTGAATTCTCATTGGTGGACTGGACACACAATAGACACCAACACAAAATCTAAATCGAACATCACAAGTCAGCTGCAAGCTAAGGCTCTCTTGTACGGGCCATAATGCCAACACACTCGATCTGCAGTTTCCTCTTTCCACCTGATGGCAGGCTAGTGTGAAGCAGACCCAACCTCGTTCCCCTCTCTGCCTCCGAGAATGTTGCGCCGCTGCGATTGTCCTCCTGCAATGAGAAGAGGCTCCAAAAGGATCCAAAAGGATTATATATATATATAATCATATCTAATCAAAGCAAAGGGCTGCACTTCCGGAACAAGTTCAACCGTCCAAGCTTCCAGTTCGAGCGGATCGTGCCAGCATATCTCCAACCACCGGAGTCCCATGCCTCATCATTAAAGTCGGAATCATCAAAAGCTTCAGCCCGCACTTCGCCAAGTGGCATGCGCATGAGGTAGCATAACGACCCGCAACACCTGATAGCTTGCGATTGGACAACTGTTGCTACGCTGCTGTAGGAATGCTACATACTCGCACCTGCCACAAGCGGAAGCGGTGCTGAGTTCAATTGTGCTCATCACAGCTTCAGAGGCTCCAACGCTCTGCACACTGACCTGAATGAAAAATATCGCCAAACTCAACCGCCCAAAAGCCTCACCTCGACCTCGAATGCTTCAGGACACATTCAACAAATGACTTCGGGTGGCAAGTGAGCCCAAGACGACGTGAAGACACACTTGGCTTGGTGGTTCTGAAGCAACACATTCAGAAACCCTTGCGTCTTCTTTCCCTCTTGTGCCCTCAGACACTTCACTGTCACCTTCTTGCTCTGGGAAACTCTCTTTCTCAAATTCTTCTTCCGCATGTGGCGTTTTCCAAGTAGCTCCTCTCCAGTTCAACATCCGGGTCTCTCCCTCAGAGCCGGCACGGCCGTGCACCAAAGCTTTGAACACATGAGTGACGCAGCCAGCCAGCAGGTATTGATACAGCTCGCTTCGCACAGGCTCGTTCAAGGCCACTAGGGACAAGCCGCTGCATCCAATTTCAAGTCGGCTCAAGGGGGTCGGGGAAACGTGAAAAGGATTGAAACTGTCTTGCAGCTCAGGAAGCCAAGGCAAAGATGTTTGCAAGGTACCCGCATGGCTTCCGAGACTCCTCATCCCACTCGGCTTCCAAACAATTGCCACACCATCTGGGCAAACGGAACGAATGACTTGCCATGCTACAGCAGAGCCAGCGTCTAAAGCGGAATCAGCGGTGAGTTTTCGACCTCCGTAATTCAGGGTGACCAGTTTGACAGCCCGTGCCCGAGCTACTGTGGACTCCTGAATTTCACGCGCCTTGTTCAAACGCAACCGCACCACGTCGCCAGGATGAAGCTTCCGGCTTTCCTCGACTCTTTCACCATTCAGTGTCAATTCACCTCCTTCGATGGCTCGCTTCGCTGAAGACTTTGTGGAAAGATGTTTCCTTAAAGTGTCCATTTGACGTGCAAAATGTAGAAGTCGCTCACCTTCCAACTCCACCACAACATCAACAGAGACCACCAGCCCCATCCCTGCATCTCCAACATACCCGTTGCCCTGTTTCAAGTCTTTCTCCTTAGCCGCCTTAGCCTGGATTGAGCCACATGAGGCAACGTGCTGCTGCAAGGCACGTTGGGAGGAAAAGGCTTTGGAACACCTTTGGCACACCTGGATTTGTGCTGAAGCCGCTGGTGATGCGGGCAGAAGCAAGTGTTGGGCCAAAGTCTCACCATCCTGGCACTCTTGCCCGCAGATTTTACACTGATGCTGCACAGCATGTGCATCAGCCAAGGTGCATGGTGCTTTACCAGCATCAGAGGTTTGGAACACAAAAGTTGTGCAATTGCCGATGTTCATAAGCTGCTCACTTTCGTGGCGTCGGTGTTCATAGCCATACCGCGATGCCCAATGGACAAAACCCAAGGAGCCGTTTCGCCACTTTCTTCTGCATCTCCAAGTGGGCTCGGCCGGAACAGCAACCAAGCTGGCCAGCCTCCCCACAGCAAAATCTTCCTCAGTTGGATCTGCACCAAAAAACCAGCGTCATAACAAAAGAATCAGGTGACCAGGTGCGAGTCAGTGGTTCCTCAAGTCATCTCATCAGAGTACACAATAGCATCAAGTGGAACCATGTTGTGTCGTTTTGTCGCGCACTTAATATATTCTGCCAATTGGTGCCCCTATGTCGTCCTGATGCGCTGGCTCCTCGAAGGCGTGTTTGGAACACTGAGATCATGTTTGTGTGAAAGCATGAAATCGCTAGTGGTCCATGTCCATATCTGTCATCTGGGTCTCACAGAATGCGCTTTACGGATGGATCTTCACTTGGGCATCTGAAAAATGAGAGCACCTGTGCACAAGGCCTGTCCACGGGCCCTCAGCTTGTGTTCGAAGTCTGCTTTCTACACCTACACATCATATAGGCCACAAAAGGTGGTGCTTGGAACACATGGGAGGCGAGAGGTTGAAACACCGCAAGGGGCTGAACAAAACCATGATAAGCAGCCAACAAAGCAAACAAGCACGTTCAGCACGACAACGCCAGAAACAAAAAATGACTGAAGAACCTATGCGGGAAAGTGGGGACTAAAGGAAGCCAATGCTGGATACAAGATAGGAGCGGCTAGGAGGGGAAGCCTGTTCTCCGTAAGCATATCTGTGGAGAAAAGATGCCTCGGGACAACAGGAAATCGAGGTCGGGACGGTTCAACGATTGCAAGGATGGGAACCACTCAGAAGAACTTATGGTTCTGACATGTTCTGACATGTTCTGACAGATTATATATGCGTTCTTGTTTGTTCCCTTGGAGGGTGCAAATTAACCTCATAGTTGTTTGCTGTGGCTGTCTCGGGTGTCAGAAGGGGCAATGGAAATTAGCATGAGTTGGAGGCATGAAAGGAACGGCACATGGTGGGCTCAGCACCATAGTCGTTGAAGAACTTGGGCCACTATCCCTTTTGAGGCGTTTGGTCAGAGACCGAGACTGGCCGGCTAAAAGGGCAGGAACTAAAACATAGCAAACTTTGAACAAAAATCCAAAACATGTGAAACTGAGGGCACGTAAGGCATTGCAGCCGTCGTGTGGTTGGCAAATCTGTATGTCAGATTGAACTCAGAAGCGGGGTGGACACCACAACAAAGATTTCAGATACACACCTTGACATATAAAGGGCCAAACCACAGAGATTGCAGGTTTCTTGCAAACCGGTTGCCTGTCCCACCACCTTCCCCGCCTTTCTCTCGTTTTCCACCTCGGTCACCTCCTTCCCATTCAGCCCGAGTTGAACATGGACAATAGGGTTGTCTATCCTTCACCGGATATCTTTTAAGCTTCAGTGTGTTTGGAGGGGTGTGACTGCAACCTTCCACAGAGCCTGGGTAATGACATCAGCGAAGGATACCGCACAACATTGTTGGTGTTCTCTTTGTGGGTGAGCTGGCTGACAACCTTGATCCTTACTTTAATCTGGGCACACTACTAACTATTCGAACAACGGATGAAAATGTCCAAACCCTTGCCAAAAAGCCTATTGAGTGTGCAAGAAGGGCGCACTTGGGCGAGAAGGAAACCTTTTTACAAAAGCAAGAACCTAGACTAGCCACGTCCGCTTTGTGCATCCAAGCCGCGACCGCAATTGGAGCATACCTCCTCGGTTCATACGCAAGAACCTCCTGCCGACCGCTGCAGGCACTTACCTCCTCACCAAAACGAAAGGATGGTGCTACTTACATGACATTGCATTACTAATTACTATACAATACAATTACAGGCGATGATACCATACAGTGCTACACTGCTAGGCCTTGCATGACTCAGGCAAAGGCTCCGAGACTCCTTCCAGCCCAGCCGTTCAGCAGCACCATGAAGGTCCCACAGGCTGGCCTGCTCGCCACAGAGGGTCAGGTGCACTTCCGAGGTGACCGAGCTCGCAGAGTGAAGGAAGTGCGCCAGCAACGCCTGGTGCTGTTTCACGTGCTCGCTTGCTGGGCTATGGCAGTCTTCTGCGACGTCTCCCAAATGAGGAAAGTTGAAAATCACCACATCGAAGGGAGAAGCAGCGCACCCAAGTTCCGCCAACTGGAGGTTGCATGCATCCACCCGGTGAAGAACACACACTCCAGATGAAAGAAGCTCCTCCCTCGTGCTTCCGGCAGACTCGTACCGACTGCAAAGTTCTTCACACGTGAGCCATGTAGTTGCAGTAGTCTGCAGTGCTTCTCCAAATGCTCGGGATAAGGCCAAGGAAAATGACAAGTCTCCATCGCCCACTGTGAGCACGCGTGACACCATTGACTGGCATGATCTGGGCAAGATGAAGGTATCTCAAACCTGAGTTTGGCCTAAGAAGCTGCGGACAAGCAGCTCAATATAGCACAGCAAAGCAACCCCATTTGACAACACGTCAGTTGTGCCGCCAGAGTTAGACTTGTGACTTGTGTACCTACCAGACCATTTTCGGTGGAGTTCTTCGCGACATCCAGAGCATCTCTTGAGTAACTGCGTTGTGGCACAAGCTGCCCCACGAACGCGGCGTTGCTTTGCCACCTAAGAGCCACGCATTCAGCCTAAACCGAAGAACCAAAACCTGCAGGGCCATTTTAAGCTCTCAAGGTTCTATGAAAAGCTCTCGGGATTGGTTCGTCGCAACTCACTTCACATCATCCTTGGTTTCGCCCGGCGGGGGTGGCGGAGGTTCTGCTCCTCCATCATGACCGCCTGGGATCAATAGTCCGGCGAGGATACCAAACAACTGAAATCAAAGAGCACACAATATCCTTTCGACATGCAAGATCGTTCAAGTGTTCTCTTCGAGACACCGTGTGGAAGCTCACATCGAAGTTTGAGAGGCAAGCTGACTAGCAGATCGCCTTCTGCAAACTCACACAAGTATCCGAGCTCCTCCAACTTCAACGCCAAGATCCTAGCCCTGGACGCGCTGCATATTTGATTTGGGGATACCCATCCCTGGCAGCCAATCGGAGCTGGAAGCGAGCATCACAAAAGAACAAACAAACATCAACAACCCTTGGATGGCTGCATGCGAACTGTTGTCGCACCTCTTCTCGAAATAGCTGCACTGCAAATCGGGGAAAATCAAATATCTCCTCTGCTGCAGCTGCCTCTTCATCTATCGGATCTATGCTGTCTGCAGAGCGTGACCTTGGCTTGTTTCCATTCTGGCCAGCTTGAAACATGGCACACCTCTGAAACATGCCAGCATGCAAACACAAGAAACTTCCCCAAGGTCAAGCACCCCACCCCACAGATTTAAAGTGCTCGTCAATCTCATGCAGAATGCCAGCAAAAAAGGTATGAAATCCAGCCCACCTGCTCAAACAGAACAGTGAGTAGACCAGAAATGAAAACATGCCCTGCACTCACTACTCATCACTGTTGCCTGTTGATGATTGTAGTGACTAAAGTCCGACTGACTTGGCTGGCATCTGGTTGTAAGCTTCGGAAGGCGCCATTCACCACAATCTCTTTCGGAAACTCGAGACCTAGAAGCGGCGGAACTCCCCACTGGGAAGGTGTGCATTGGCGTCTGAAGTTGTCACACTAACCTTCTTCTTCATTCCGCTCCCCGTTGGCACAGCCAGTGCCATTCATGCGGAAGGGTATTGGAAACATGTTACATCAAAGTTGAATCCTCTTTCTTTCCTGCCTTTTCCTTCATTTTCCTTCCAGACCTGCTCATCTCTGAGTTCCTTACGGGCGGCATCCCGAAGAACAGCTTTGACCGCCGTAGTATGAGGCACCCAGATTTCGCCATAGCGATACCAGTCTAACAAAATCCGAAAGCGATCAGGGCAAATGTCTACAGGAACATGTATCAGCCGGTTCGAGTCTGCTTTGGCTAAAAGTTTGGCCAACAGGGTCTCCGGCTTTGCCTTCACTAATTTTGCTGCAACCTGAAAGGTTTGCCCGCCAACATTGAAATGCGCCGCTGAAAGCGGTGCCGCTGGTGTAGGTGGCTCTGCCCGTGGAGCTGGCAAGGTAGGCGGCTTCACTACTGACGCTGATGTCACCACGACCTCAAGCAATAACAAATCACTGCATCAAAAGGAACTCTGCTCCATCTTGACACAAAACGAGTCACAAGCCAGCGTGCATGCAATCGAGGCCTTCAAGTAACTCTAAAAGGGCTGATCAACTAAGTTCCAGGCATCTGCATCTGCTCCATTAGTCTTTGTGGCTGGTGCCATGGGGGCTGGCAGCTTCGCTGGGCGCGGGCTTGGGGCAGTTGTGACCGCCGGGGGGGTTGGGGCAAGACCAACGTTCAATGCATTGGCTGCCGGGCGCGGGCGTTTCACTCCATTGGGCTCCGGCATGGGGACCGTTGCGGCCGTTCGTTTGGCCGGAACTCGCTTGGGGGCTCCAGCCGCTTTGACGGGCACCTTGGGCCTGGTAGGTGTACGGACTTGCGGCCTGGGTTCCTGTGGCTTCAAGACTTCTGTCACTTCAGGCCCCTTGGCTTCTTTGGGTTCCTTGATTTCCTTGGAGTGAGACTCCTTTATCACCTTCACGTCTCTCTCGGTCCGAACTGTCCTGGCAGGAGCCGGGCGAAGACGACCATCTCCAGGCCCAGTCGCCTTGAGTGTCTCACCCTTGTCTGCCTTTGCAATCAGGGTCACCTTCGGCCGTTTGGCCTCATCAGCCATGGCTTTCAAGGCATCTGGCTCTCACCTTCTACACTTTGGCCTGAAGCCGGGCATTCGATGGCAGTGTCCTGCATCCAAATGACAAGCTTTACATGACTACCTTTCTGCTACTGCGCTCTTCGAGCTCCTTGGACATCACAACATACCGTACCTCTTACTGGAAACAAGCATGGTTTCTGAAGGTGTGCTGTCAGTACGTTACTATCTGTGACATTTTATCTGGCGCCCATTTTTGCAGCTTACAAATCTGGTCGCCATGGACCAAGTCTTTGCCGCGTTCGCCAAACCTGCCTCACAGCCGATCTCGCTCGGTTTGCACGAGCCCCGTGGTACGAAGCCCTTCAGCATCTGCGCAGCTGCTCGCAAAAAAGATGCGCAGCTCCTTCCGGCACAACACACATAGGAGTTGTGGCCCAGCTGCCAAGAGAGTGTTGACCGAGATGCCAAGCTCTTCAGTGATCGGCATGTAATGGCCCTTTGCCAGAGCGTGTCGGATCAAGCCGTTGGAAGCCTAAGAGGTCAAAGTCCTTTGCAAATCCTGATTCTATCAAATCTCTGGTGACTTGATCAAGATCCTCAACTGAAAATTTGGGCATCTCTGACTCGTTAACTCGAGGAAGTGGAGGAAAATCAATACCATGGTGCACACCTAGCTTTGCGAGGTCTTCTGTTAAGTGCTCGAATCGCACGAGGTTCTCCTGAAAGCGCAACCACAATGAGGGGAAAGAATGGACGGTGCTCAATGTCTAGGATCCCCACAACTGCAAAATGTCAGTCCAGAGTCAGTCCTGACCCAAAACCAAAACGCTCAAACACCATGTTCATTCTCTTGACAATTTGCCGAGCATGTTGTGAGCCCCTTTTGGACACTTCGTTCAGTCCATCCTTGGCCACGTAGGGTTTGCCTTCTGCATCGAAAATGTACAAGTGCTGCGGTATGAAGTGGGCATTTTGGTGAGGTGGTTGTATTGCTTTCGGGCTCAGCTTCTGTTGCAACCATCGGTTCAAGTCCAAAGAGGTTGCCTCTTTCCGGCGGCACTTCTTGGTTTCATCCATTCCCACGGGCGCACAGTACCCCTTCCAGCAACATCGAAACTCACTAATCGCTCGCGTGTAGGGACAACGAACTACAGCAAAAGGCACATAGCCACTGTAGGGGTCTTCCACAAAGAATTGAGGAGGGACATGCCACCATTCTGACCGCAAGCGTCCAGCATGAGGTGGATGAAGCTTCCCACGGTGAATTTGCAGCTCTTTCCACTGTTTCCCCCACTTCATTCCAAGTTCTTTGCCCAACTTCTCAAGGGCAGTTCCAGCATTCTTTGTGATGTGCAAGAGCTTCAGCTTCTTCAGCTTGGGATTGCATATGCCGGAGGACTCTTTTCTGGGCCGGCTGCGGCTTGGCATGTTGGCATGGCTCTATTTTCCCTGCACGACAGGATGCCAAGACTTCATTGGAGGGATGATGCGGCCAAGTTCCGAACCTTTCTCAAATACGGAGGAACGCTGGTGTAAATGCAATTGTCGGGAACAAAGGTCATTGTTTCAGCTTCATTTGCTCCAAACTTTGTTGTGTAGTCCTGAAGGTCTTGCCGCAAAGGACCGGTTTTTTGGGCCACAGCAAACATTGAACAAGGGCATAGCTGTCCACATCTTTTAGCAGTGCAAGACTAAGAAGTCACCTAAATGTTGTGGAAGAGATGGCATGAATCACGTTGACTCTTTCGATCGATTGAAGCACTCTTGTGAATCCTGCAATTCCAGGATTGGTCACACGTTTGCTTGCCAAAACTATACTGGCACCACTTCTGGGTGATTGACGATAAACTGATTGCCCAGCCCCGCTTGCCACCAGGCACACTTGGTGTAGAATGGCAACCGCTCGGTGAATTTTTGGAATCAACTTGGTGCAGGGCCCAAACACTCAGCCGGAACTGAAAGGGGATCATGGACAGCCTCGAAACTGGCTCAGCCTGGTTCTTAAAAAGCCTCAAATGAGTTGTCGCAGAAGCCCATCGGGCATGGCAAAAAGACGCATAGCTCAAATCACACGCAGAAGCAATGCAACTCATGTACCAAAAAGACATGTTCAGATGCCCTGTGCCTTCCGCCCATCTCACTTCTGGTCATACCAAGCGCTTGGCGCTTAAAGAGTTCAAAATGACAAACGTGCCCTCATTCGTTCATCACACGCAATGCCGCCAAGAGCGTGCCCAAACTCCATGCCTGTGCAGGGCAGGAGTGGTCACAGTGCTGCCCCTTGCTGTTGGTGAGTTCTGGCAGAGATCTCCATGGCGCTTTGCGCAGCATAGATCGATGCCCCACCAACCATCGCATTGCATGTCTTGGATTTGCAGACTCTGTGTCATGTTGCATTTTGTGCCAGGCCTCCAAAAAGAAGCCCAAAGGCCAAACCCATTCAGGACCTTGGTGGTAGTTCCAGCCATGTGCAATGGCAATGTCCCCAGAATCATTGTCGTTGTGGTAGTCACCATGGTACTCTTTGTCAGATGGATCCAATGTGCAAATCCCCAAAGGGCCGATGAGATTTGTGGCCACCACACCCAAAGCAGCGTTGGCACGTTCTGGCGCAAAGAGCTCAGGTGCCACAGCCATTGCAATGCAAAAATTGGGTCGAAGCTGAGCATCTTGCCATTGCCGACTGGCTCCGACAGTGTCTCTGTAGATCGAAGTGCTTGATACCGCTCCCCTCTCATCTGGGTCTATCCAGAAGAACCGCTCAAAGTTGTCCTGAAGGCGCTGGTTCCATTCTTTGTACTCAAGATACTGGCCCGACGCTGTCTTGACACCCTCATATTTGAAGATCTTCTTGTCCAGCTCACATACCCAGCGCAGTGAAGACTTCAGCAAGCCAATGATCTCCACAGCTGCACCATCCCGCGGCGTGGCTGGCTTGCCTTTGTTTCCTGCTTTTGCAGATGAACCCATTTTGTCCATCCAAGTGCCGCAGTTGTGCTCACTTCCGCCATAGATAAGGCCTGTTTGCTCATCTAGCCGTACATTCACGTCAAAGCCCCGCTCGCTCATGTCGTCATCTATGCCTTAGCTTGGTCGAGCATGCGCAAACTAGTGGAAACACCGAGCCTGTGTCCATCTTCCGACTTTCATCCCTCAAATCTCTATATTGCACCTAGTCTAAACACATGCACACACACAATGTGTATGTGACACAAGTATTATGTTACCTCTCTTGGACCTGCCCTTTCTTCAAAATCAACGCTATTTACAGTGTTTCACTACAGTTTGGGGTGCAACATGTTTGGTCCAAAGGAAAGCGTGCCATAGTAGGAACCAATAGACTGAACACAAAAACTGACATGTTTAATCAATGCAAACTGCACATGAATCATGAATACAAAGGCTGGACGACAGGCCAAAAAAAACAACTCTCGGGGGGGCTTCTGGGTGCTTTTATATGTTTCGAGCTTGTCGATTTTTCCAGCACCTCGTTTTCACCTGATCTTCACAAAACCTCGACAGGCTCGAACATGATGTTTAAAGAAAAATGATAATGTAAAAAAAAAAAAAATATATATATATATAATAAATACAAAACAACAACAATGAATAAATAAGCTAAAAAATAAAAATAAATAACACAACTCCTAAAGGTCCCCATAGATTGTTGAAAGTGTTTATTTGTTTGAGTCTGTCATGGTTTTCGTCAAGGTCAGATGCAGAAAAAGTGTAGGAACATCGACAGGCTCAATAGAATCAACAAAACACTCTTAAACGGTCCCATACATTGTGAAATGTTATTTTAAGCCTGTCGATGTTTTGTGAAGGTCAAACGTGTTTGCATTGAGAATTTGTATTCATTCCTTTCAATTAGCGTTCCCTTCGTTCTCGAGTATTATTTGACTCCTCGTATGGTTCTTCAGTGTTCCCCATACTAAACCCTCTTGTTTCAGGCTCATTTAGCATTGTTCCTTTGTCTAGTTGTTTATACCCTTCCGTGATTGGTTTGCTCGCCCTTCAGTAAATTGGTTTCTCTCATCGATCTATTGCTTTCTATATTTGCATACTTATTGACCTTTTCTTCACATCTTTCATTGTTGCGTTGTTCACAAGCTATTCCTACTCTCAAGAGGCTTTTCTTTCAGTAAGCTACAGTAGATGTCTATTTGTTGCTTGGCTCCTATGATAAGATTCTGAGAAACAAACACACAAAAGGAAAACAATCGAAATAGTTAGACAAATGACCACAGTGGCAATATAGTCATAGCATGTCACAGCTCTCTAATTGTTGTTGCCTTTTTGCTTGAACAGTGGCTCTTTCAGAGGCTGATTGGCCGCTATTATCCTTAAAATGCGTGTCGTAAAGCATAACGTATTGCTCTTTAATTCCCCAAACAGTTTACTGTTAGGGGTTCTCAATGCTTTAAAGAATGGTCACCTTGGTGCTGGATGGTCTGGTCGGGTTCCCGGCCGGCTTGTCTCCCACTTCCTTTTATTTGTCTCCCAGTTCTTTTCATTTGTCTTTTGTTTCCCAAGCTCGGTGCTTGTGGTCGGGTTCGCGGCTGGCTTGTCTCCCACTTCCTTTCATTTGTCTCCCACTTCTTTTCATTTGTCGCCCAGTTCTTTTCCCACTTCCTGTCATATGTCTCCCACTTCTTTTCATTTGTCTCCCAGGCTGGGTGCTTGTGGTCCGGTTCCCGGCTGGCTTGTCTCCCACTTCCTTTCATTTGTCTCGCACTTCTTTTCATTTGTCCGGCTGGGTCTTGTGGTCGGGTTTGCGGCTGGCTTGTCTCCCACGTGCTTTCATTT